ATGTTCGCTCATTGGAATGTTCCTTGTTCTGTTGATGAATCCGACCTGTAAATATATATATTATATTATATTATGAACCTTGGGAGAAACCAGGCTCATTCGGGGGGCCAGTTCTCCTCTGAACAGACAACACCAGCATGGCCTGGTTTAATTCCAGACTGCAACACAGGTGCAGAGGACCCGTCTGGTTCCCGTGGTCTTGTGGAGCCTAACAATCCTTCAACGGATTTGAATTATAGAAATGCGACTGTGTTATGTGTATGCCAGGTTACAATGAAACATGAATGAAACATGTAATGAAACATGCTCTTTAAACTCATCAGTGATTTACACAAGACCATCCAGAGCTTGATCACTTCAACACATTATTGTACAATCCACCACCAGAGGTCAGCCTGGCCTCATTATTGACCTCCAGCTTCACATTGACTGCTGCAGCTGCTCCTTATTATCCATGATTAGATCACAGGATCTCTGCATGTGAAGAGCACTTTCTAAAGTTTAGCATGTTTGCTCATTGGAATGTTCCTTGTTCTGTTGATGAATCCGACCTGTAAATATATATATTACATTATAATATATAATATCAAGAGCAAATTGATGAACAACCACACACACATAATTTTTTATATTTTAGAAATGTAAAATAAAATAAAAACATAGTTTATAATATAAATAATATAAAAGTATAAAACTATTTTAAGACGTGAACTATTTTGAGACTATATAAACAATGTTTATATCAATGTTATATCAATATATGTATATAACAATGTTATAATCAATGTTTTTATTTGATGTAATTTGCTAAATAATAAATTTGCATGTCTTTCCTTTAAACACAATGAGATATTGACACATTTGACCATCACCTTACATCTTACCAGCAGATCGTAAAATATTATTCCAAAACTTGCCAGCAGGTGGCACTGTATAATTTATATCTCTTATTACAGTTTTTCTCGATTGCTTAAACACATTTCTTGAAATTGTGACTCCTTTTCTCGAAACTGTAAACACAAATCCATAACTTCTCACCCAATTCCCCATACTTCCTATTTTCAGGTCAAAATGAAGCTCTACACTCAAAACTATTCAATTTTGCTGAAAAAAAAACAAACTTTGCCCTCAGACATGACACACAAGCCCTCAGAATCACACACACAACAACATAGTCTTACACACTAGTGAGATCAATTCATAACACTATTGCAAAAACCTTCTTTTGGCAACCACGTATCATTTTACAGCTCAATGTCTCTTACAGTATACAACATAATTTGAGCAGATACTTGTTACAGTAAATATAGCAGATAAAGTGAAATTCAACAATAAGCGTTACAGTAAGAAAAGATTATTTTCATTACACTGCTGTAAAGAGATCTTACAGTACACTAGATGAAAAGCACTAGAACGGAAAAGGTCAAATACCAAAGAATTGCAGTTATATTGTGTGTTTGTGTTCACTAAATGAGAACATGGTTAAACCTGTGCAAAATGATGCCGTTCTTGTGTAGAGTTTTGCAGAAAACACTGAGCAAATTGGAGCATGTGTGAAAAAAGGTGAAATGTGTTAAAAGTTTTGAGAAACGTGTCTTTGTTTCAAGAACTGTATGAATGGTTTGGAAAATTGTGCCAAACGAGTCAGTTATAGTGTGTTAGCAATCGAGAAAAACTGTAATACAACTCTTAACCCATTTAATCCCAAGGGTCACAATAGTGACCATAAAGAAGGTTTTGATTTATAACGCTCTAAAAATGTTACTGACTGGTGTTTTAGTGCATTTCCTGCAAATATGGAAAAAATAAAGGGTCTCAATTAAATATGTGCAGTGTGACATTGTTAGTGCAAATTGTCACATGACCAGAGCAGGGTTTTTTCATGTTTGCATCATGAGAAGATGATGGCTGCGTCAAAGCTCCCAAACAAAAGGCCAGTAAAGTATGTTAACATAAAGATATGATAAATATTTTTGGTGCATGTTATCTTTAAGGTGTCTAGTATTAATATATGACTTCACATATATTCAGTTTTGTTGAGTGTGGTCATAGAATAAGGAAACATGTTGCTGGCAACACTAGTGACCGCTGGGATAATACAGTGCATTCAGGTATACATATAAATCCAGTTACAGTGGATAGTGAAGGTTGCACTAAAATGTTGCAATGACAATGGCAATAAAAGTTCAAATGCTACAAATAAGTTACAATTTTGATGTTGTAATACTTGTAACACTAACATAACAATTTTATAATATGTTACAATAAAGTAACAATTTTAAAATACGTTGATGGTTGTATTTTTTGTCCTTTATCTCAGTATTCCTGTCAGTGTTGTATAAGGTTTTTAATGCATAATAGTAACGCTAGAATGTGATGAAACAAGAGTTTTAAAAAGCTGGGCTGAGATACATAAAAATGTTGAATTACTGCAGAAATATGTTAATTCAGTATACACATTATCCCACCGACCATAAAACACAGTTTTTCACTCACTTTTCAAAAAAAAACATTTCAAAAAATAATTATCGATTATTTACTAATGAGATCATTTGGTTATTTTCATGTCTGGGGAAATGTTAATTCAGTATACACATTATCCCACCGACCATAAAACACAGTTTTTCACTCACTTTTCCCCCAAAAAAATTTCAATAAATAATTATCGATTATTTATTAATGAGATAATTTGGTAATTTCATGTCTGGGAAAAATGTGGGATTAAATGGGTTAATAGCCTATATAATTTCACGTATAACCAGCAAATACGTTTTATTTAAAGGATGTGTCTTGAATAATTCACACCATCCGTTATTAATCTTTATATTTAATTTCTTTTATATTTACGCGTAGTTTATCTTGCGGGTTGTTGGCGATTAACTATTCTGAGTAGCTAGTAATGGTCGATACCCAACAAGCCTGTTTAAATTATCATAACAGTTACGTGTAAAATATTAAAACAAAGTCTAGAAGGATAATACTATGACTATTAATGTAGTCTGTTTACTAATATAAGCTAATCTTTCCAACGAAACTGCTGTTATAAGGTTACCATGGTAACCGTGTTGGTTAAAATGCATAGTAACTCTCGTTACTACAAAACCGTGGCCAGTACCGGTCCTATAAGCGATATATGCGGCTGCATAGGGCCCCCGTGGCCACCAGGGGGCCCCGTGTGAGGAGTTCAGACAGCAATCACGGAGTAAGGCGAGATGGCAACAGCAGAGCTGCGCTGGAGCGTTCTCTGAAGCTGACCTTCCATAGGAATTAATTAAAAACTTTCGTGGACATGCACTGTAAGTGTCTGACAAATCGGTCAGCACCTCCGGTCCCGATCGCGAAATCGAAAGTGAAACTAAAAAGGATGCGTGCGCGCATTCAAACGCAATTTCAATACCAGCAGTTTGAGAGCGGCTGCGGCTCCCTGATGCATGCAAATTAGGCTGCATACAATATCTAGGCTGTAATTAGTATGCACACTATAATAGGATGTGTAGTTATAACCATCTCTAAGCTCTGAATCATGCTTGAAGAACATGTTGGTTTCTGTACGCGCTTTGATTTGAATATTGAGAGAGTAGCCTACTTTGATTATGGTTGCACTTAATAAGACTAAGAAAGAACTGTTTTTTTTTTCTATGATCAATTTGTGGAAAAAAGTTCAGATAGGAGGTCAAACATTCTAGAAACTCATAGCCTGCAAGTACAACTCTATAGGCCTGAAGAGACTCATGAAATCATACAGAAGAGAAGTCAGTCAGTTGAGTTTGTGGCTAAATCTTTTACAGTGCTTGAGTATTCTGTTATTGCATATAATAATTCATAGTCAGAAAGCAGAACTGAGGTGGCATTGCAAGATTAGTTAAAACATTTCAATGCACCTGCAGATTATTTTTCCAGGCATGTTTTTCATCATTGAAGATTTCTTAAAATAGTGTAAAAATGTTGTCTAGTCTCATTCTTGTGAACCCCATCTCGTGTCTCGTCTCGTCTCAGAGTTTTGCCTTCACTTTAATGTTGCTTAAATCTGTTTCAACATGTGTTTACACTTATATTTGATTATTTTTGAATTTTAATCTGGACTGTCATGCCAGCCCAGAAAATTAATTATTCTTCTATTATTATTATTATTAGTATACTGTTCTCTAATGTAATTTTCATAACCAGGTGTTTTTGCTTTAACCATTAATCTCACTGAATGTTGATACATTTCTCTTAAGCAGTTGTTAAACTCTTTAATTTTAAATTTTAAACTCTTTAGTTTTAAAAGTTTGCTTAAATGGGTTGTTGACATGACATCGCATTTTCAGTGTCACACAATATAAAAACTTCAATAATTAATATTGTCATCATTTAAAATTTATTTTGTCTTACATGGACCCATTGTTATAAAAACTGCTTTGTTATTAGATTTATTATTATTATTTTTTTTTGGCATTTTTGAGCTAAATCTCAAAATTGTCCTATGGTGTGACTGTCTCAAGGATGTTCAATAAGTTACAACTTTTATAAATTAAAAAGAAAAGCATGCAATTGTTAATAAATACCTCAGGCATAATTTTACAAGTGTCTATTTTAGTAATTGGCGATCATTTTTTCATCCATATATGTCTAAAAGCATATGAACTCGATACATTATGTCACTGAAAACTATGTCCTCCGGTGTGACACCATATCATGTTTTTAAACTCCACGGACAACTTTAATTAGTTGAAGGACCAGGAATAGTGTTTTACAAAAAAGGGTTTTTTACCCCTTTTGAAAATCTGCTTAGGGCCCCCAAAACGCTAGGGCCGGCCGGCCCTGACCGTGGCCACTTATTTTCAGCCTCAAAAACTAATAAAATAAGATGTAAAAGTAAACAAAACAGAAGGGTTTGCAATCTTAAAATATTTAAGGAATGTGCTGTTTTAATTCATGATTTAATAACTGAGGCAACTATTGTGGTGAATGTTTGTATGGTTATATTGGCTTATAGTAACGCTAACGGCTAGATTCAGAACAGGTACTGTATGTTAATGTAAGTTACGCCCATGCAAAGTCACAAACGAGCGTGTGTCTAAAGACCAGTGAAAAGAGGGGTAGCAAGGGAGTTTCTCTTCCATCACTGTTCAATATGAGAGGTTAGTATGAAGACTTCTGGAGATCTTTGCCTGCCGCTCTGAAGACACGAGAAACAGAAGCTCCGGCCAGATAAACTCCATTATCAAGTCGACTTTGGCGGCAAAAAAAGGATAATTTGTAGCATTCGTCTTTTGTTTGAACGCAGACACAGAGGAAACCAGGAAATAACGCGCGGCTGGCATTTGGAAATTGTACAAAAAAAATGAAGTAAGTTGTTTAAATTGAGTTAAATTCTTACTAAATTTAGTTTTACAGAAAAAATAATAGATTAAAGGACAAACAGTCGTTTTGGGTTGATGGGTTCACAGTGTAAATAGAGACTTTGGTAACTACAAATACAGTGAGACACGTGGCGATGTTCTGACTCTAGAGTTGGATGTTTTCTTTGTTTTCGCGCGTTTCTCTTATTTCTCAAATATGTATTTGTATTTTATCATAAACTGGAAATGCCCATGTGCAGCAGTGTTTTAAATGAGCTCAAATGTCTTTTACATGAGCTATTAACGTTTTATTTTAGGCTGGGTGTATATTGTGGAAGGCATGTTTTATTGTAGCATATGGCGCGATCTGGAGAAACTTCGCGTTTGTTTAATCCCGGAGAGAAGAGTCGGTAGTCTTGTGTTGTTTCTCAATGGGCCACGCTGGGAAAGCCAAGCCTTTTGTCCTCAGGGGAAACGGAGAGGGCAAAACTCAGCGTTTCGGGTTCCACATGGACCAGAAAACCATTCTAGAGATGAAACGATATGAACGTTTCTGATCACGGTTATCGGTGTTATCGCGGTATTGTTAAAATGCGTTGGAAGTGCTGATACGTAAATCGTTTCACCAAGTTTTATATTCAAGTATTTTTTTATATATATTTTTATATTTAAAATCGATAAAGTTACTTTTTGTTTGCATACACACTAAAACAATAACGTCTGGATTTTAAATGACAACATGACTGACAAAATAAATAAAATGGTAAACCTCACATTTCAGCCTTTAAATAAAGAAAAGAGTTAAGTCAAAATGATAAATAATTATATATTTTATCTGCTCCATAAATAATCCGAATTGTTTAAATGTGTAGAATCAACTGGTCATAATTTACAGCAGGGCATGAAATTCAGTCCGTTTTTTTGGCCAGACAAAAACTGCACACACACACAGGCTGAATGTAACTCTGTGAATCCACTCTCTGACAGCAGGTGGCGCTGATGGAATGGCAGAATTAGAGCCTGATAGCACACATACATCACGGAGACGTCTATTTGACATCTGCAAGACGTATTTTTTTAGAGTGTTTGCTCATCTGCAATACGCCTATAGGACGTTTCCTATGAGATGTCAAATAGACGTTTAGAAGATGTCTTTAAGACCACTTATACCAGAGAGCACATGGGCTCCAAATGATATGATTCCATTGTTTCTGGTAAAAATGGAATTCTATGGAAGCCTGTTTCCACCACGGAATAAAACAAATACATAAATAAAGAAGATAGGTGTGCCTTATCTCACAATTCTGAATTTTCTTTCGCAATTCCAACTTTAAATCTCACAATTCTGAATTTTTTTTCCAAATTTCAGTTTTGCGAAATAAAAGTAATTACGACTTTTTTTTTTTTTTTCCAATTCTGACTTTTCTTCTCAGAAATGCGCGTTAACATCTCTCTATTCTGAGTTTATATCTCAGAATTCTGCTTTTTTTTCTTTTTTTTCTTTTCTGATTTAAGGTCTGTTCAGATTTAAAAACTCATGTCATGTATTCCAGCCGTTAAGAAAGATTCGAAAAGACTGTGAACATGGAAGATTCGGCCATTTAACAGATTCGATTCTTCACCAGAGGAGCGCACGAAAAGAGTCGATTCGATTATTACCAGAGAGCGTAAAGGACTCGATACTTTTCATTTCGTTCTTCACCAGAGCATGGTCGCTACATTGGCGGTGGGGAAGACGGGAATAAATCTCGACATCGTGTTGCTTTTGGCGAGGGTCACTCGATGGAGAGAGGACACACATTTAAACTTAAGGGCACACTTAATATTTCAATCTTGAAATGCTCTCAAGACTTTAAAACCTGGACTTTATTATAAAATATTTTCTGCTTAAACATTTAGAGAAAGGTGCATCTGCTCTTTCATATGTACACACAGGGTCAACGGTAAAAATTCACTGTGCCAGAACAAGCACTTAATAGGGGCCTTCCTCCATCTCTCTGCTCATAGGGACTGATAAACAGACGTACTTTAGAGGACATTAGCGGTCCCCTTTAAACAAACACACTGAACGTCACGTCGTTCCAGTCGAGTGACGCTCAACTCAGTGGACAGAGCTGTTAATAGTTACTTTTTAACTGTGCAGTGTGTGAAATGTAGCTCGCACACCTGTATGCCAAGAGGTTTACAGTAGATGCCTAATGTTTTTACTAAACACAAGACTCCCGAAACCGTCTTCATGCGTACTGTAAACAATCACACACGTGCAACTGACCACGACTCGATCCTCCGGAAAACTGAAAAAGTGTAATCTGTCCAAATGCGGATGGATTTCTACCACCGTCAAACCTGCTTTTCTTCATTCAGGAGAATGTGAATGGAGCTCATTTTAATAGGGAGTGTGAGTTACATAAAAAATCCTCCCATAAGCCTGGCAGTTGAGGGGAGAGAAGTCTGGTGGACTGTGTCTAATCGTGTTAAACACAACACGCTGAATCAGTGTCCTGCTGAGGTCCCTGCAGTTTCTGCTCTCTTTCTTTGTATTGCCTGTATTCTCCCGTCACCACTGAAGACTGGAGTAATGATGCTGAAAATTCAGCTTTGATCACACAGATTATTTTACTAGCCTATATATTCACATAGAAAACAGTTGTTTTTAATTGTAATAATATTTCACATTTTTACTGTATTTTTAATCAAATAAATGCAGCCTTGGTGAGCAGAAAAGACTGGAGTAATGATGCTGGAAATTCAGCTTTGCATCACAGCAATAAATTGCATTTTACTATATATTCACATAGAAAAAAGTTTACATTTTACATTTAGTAAATGTAAATGACTAAATGTAAATGTAAAAAACAGTTGTTTTAAATAGTGATAATATTTCACATTTTTACTGTATTTCTGATCAAATAAATGCAGCCTTGGTGAGCTTACAGCATCATTTAGAAAAACATTTAAAAAATCTTACCGACCCCAACATTTTGAACGGTATTGTATAAAAAATATGAGTGCATTGTATATATTCATGTATAAATGTAATTTATAATGCAGCCTATGTATTTATACAAGTATAATAAATTATATTATACCAGAGTGATTGTGGAGTGGAATTCATAAATCACAAAGAAGAAATTGCAGCATTATTTACACCATCACATTATTGATTTTTTTTCTTATTTAAAAGATTTGGTTAAAAGATTTGTGTATGGACATGACTCAAACCCACAAAAGCTGACAAGATGTGCTATTTTGCACATCTTTAAAATGCAGTCCTCAAAAGATTACACTAGTAAATCAGCTAAAGTAGCTAAATTGGGTTCAAAAAGGCAGAATATTGTCTTCAGAAATGTATATATTTTTTCATATGCCGCTGTGTGTTTACTGACTGAGCCCTGACCCTGTTTTTCTCTGTCTGATAGGATGATGGCTCCGTCTCTGTCGCAGGCGTACAGGAGGCGCTGGTGGATGGCCGTCACAGCCGTGTTGGAGAATCTGTCGTGTTCGGCCGTGCTGTTGGGCTGGGGCTCTCTGCTCATCATGCTCAAAGGACAGGGCTTTTACTCCCACCTGTGCACGGGTAATCAGTCATAGAAGTCAAGCAGATCACAATCATCCTAACTCCAGTCACTAACTAGCACCAAAAGAAAACCGAGCCAGAGTTCCTGGGAAACTTGAACTGCGTGGAGACTTTAAAACTTAATAAAGTCTCTGTCCCTTGCTTTCGTTGACCTCCTCTCTCTCTCTTTCTGTAGAAAATGAGACTGAGAGTGTGAACGCTAGCGCACCAGATGACTGGCCGAGTTGTGTGAATCAGGACGAAATGCTGAACTTGGGCTTCACCATTGGCTCATTTCTGCTCAGTGCCGCCACATTGCCATTGGGTATATTGATGGACCGGTTTGGCCCCAGGCCTCTGCGCCTCGGTGGAAGGTGAAGACACACCTACACACTAATGCTTTGAGTGCATGCTGTGTTTTACAATGCCAACACTCCATCAGGAAGCAACACATTTTTTTAAGAAAGCACTTGAGTCATGGAATCCCTGCATGAGTTTGTGCACTTCAAAGCACTGATTAATATATGCATATAAGAGCACTTTCACATTCAAGTATGCATTTATGTAATAATCATTCATGTGTTGTATTTTTTTTTCTTAGTGCATGTTTTGCGCTCTCTTGTGTGATGATGTCCATATCATCCTATCATCCAGAAGGTGAGCTGCAAACAAAAGAATCTGCATGAGTCTTCAAATTACAGCAATAATCAATCAATCTTTCAATAATTGCTCGAGTTTTTTTTTTTTTTTTACATATAACATTCAAAACATTGTTTGAAAGTCAGTAGAGGCTATTTTAGTAATCAATTAATAAAATTTCAATTAACTGAATAAAAAAAATATATATATTCAAGAAATTTCACATTTTAGCTTTTTTTTTCCCGATTGTTTGTTGCTGTATTTAAATGTAGATCAATGTTAAATCAATATACTGGCAGGGACAATTAATTAGACTTTTTAATTTTGTGAATTAACAGAAGTAGTCATTCCTCCTTCAATTTAAAATGTTTTAAATATACAGGCAGCAGAACATAATGTGCATTTTCTTTTCAAATAAGTAAATTTTGTGTAAACTGTTCATGTTCATAAACATTCACAGCCATACCCGGATTCTCAAATGTTGCATTTAGTAGCAAATTTAGCATATATATTCTACTGTATACAGAAGACACATAAAATTTGATTTGTCATATCAAAGTCGTTGCCACAGTTTTGAGTTGTTCAAGCACACGTTTTGATTGTGTAATGATGGTTTGTGCCTTCTGTTCTAGTCCTCTCTGAACTCATTTTTCTGGCTCTTTCACTCAATGGCTTTGGAGGGATCTGTCTGACCTTCACATCTCTCACGGTAAGAAAAAAGAGAAAATGGTAGAGAAGGGAGCACACGGGGTCTCGCGGACACCTGCTGTGACTTGCATGTTTTATTGTGCAGCTGTCACACAAAGCTTTTTGAAGTTTATTTTGTCCGGACAGGTGTGTGGGTTTGTGTATTTATGTGTTTGGGACAGTCAGAGGATCGACGCACATAACTGAAGGAGAAATTCTGGCTTTTTCAGTGCCCACCAATCAGAAGGCTAAACTGCCCACACGCCTCTCTTACGCCCTCTCCCTCCCGTCAACCTCTAGATGAAATGGACAAGGGCACAGACATTGTACCCACATCAACAAACAGATTGTGACTTTCCAATCTGTTTAGTAATATCACCTGGTGTGGGAAAGTATGACTATATATATCAGCTGCCCTCAGATAGCCCATGGCATCATGCAGATGCCAAAACACACTTATCCTTGTTCATACACATGGCTCATCTAGGGTTGCTCAGGTATGCGTGCACACTGCCCTACATGTGACAACACACACTGCTTCATTTCAGTGTCCTGTTGTAAACTTCTGAGAAAAGCACACGCTCTGTGTCTTTAACAGTGAATTACTACCAGCATGGAGACAATAGCAGCTGATATTCTTCTGATCACTTTATTGACCCTTTTCCACATTGTGCGTGATTTGATGTTATCAAACTCAGCAAGTCAATGACCTCCATGACTTTGTGTGCTTTTTTTTCTAGTTCCTTCAAATTAGCAGGGAACCAACCATAAGAAAGACCAATCACAAATAAGATATCTTTAATCCCTTAACTATTTGTTATAGACAAATATTTGTCATGATGATATTAAGGCGAGAGCAAATGGAAACTTTTGCTTAAGATGTTTCTTCTAATCAAAGGGCCTCACTAACATCACACCCAACAGTCTCACACTGTGCTCCGATTTTCCTAAAAACCAAAGTCTGAAATCAGAATTCATAGAATTTAATACGAACCTTAACATTTGTTATCAAATTCTTCAAAGATCGAATTACCATTGGTGTACCTTAAGGTTCTGTGTTGGGTCCCTTCCTTTTATCAGTATATATAATGTCGCTGGCATCTATCATCCAGGCACATGGGTTTTTCCAACCACTGTTATGCTGATAACACACCGTTTTAACTCTGTCTCATTCTATATGAGATATCTAAGCTGTGCTATCCTCAGTTATGTTATAGCTTTTATTGCTATATACTTCTACTTTGTCAATAATTGTCTTTTTACGTACCTCTGTAATATGAACCTTAACATTTCTTATCAAATAACCGATGGTGTACCTCAAGGTTTTGTGTTGGGTCCCTTCCTCTTTTCAGTATATATAACGTCGCTGGCATCTATCATCCAGGTACATGAGTTTTTCCAACCACTGTTATGCTGATGACACACCGCTTTAACTCAGTCTCATTCTGTATGATCTAAACTGTGCTATCCACAGTTATGTTATAGCTTTTATTGCTATATACTTCTACTTTGTCAATAATTATCTTTTTTACGTACCTCTGTAATATGAACCTTAACATTTCTTATCAAATAACCGTTGGTGTACCTCAAGGTTCTGTGTTGGGGTCCCTTCCTCTTTTTAGAATATAACATTGTTGGCATCTATCATCCACAGTAATGCTATAGCTTTTATTGCTATACACTCCTACTTGGTCAATAATTGTCTTTTTTATGTCTAATTATATTTTTATGAGGAAATTTAAGAGAAACATCAGAGATAACGTTTTTAAAGTGCTTGCAATAAACATTGCTGAGATCTCTCCTGAGCCATGAACATCTGAGAAATAAATAGCATTGCTTTGGATACTGTATTGGTGTTTAAGGCGTGCAGCCTTCTGTTACAAGTTCAGGTTGAGGTTGTTATGCCACTCTGTGTTTGTGTATGAAAAGCACAAGGAATACAAATGTGCTTTTTCACAGAAGTGTGCATTTTTAACCTTCTCATTTCACACAGGGGAGTAAAACACACTCACACATCCTTGTAAGAGTCTGGAAAAACGAAGCAGTTCTTGGAAATTCTTGGAAAACGTAGACAACAAATTTGATATATATCCACAATCCACAGCAGGACTTCCTGCTTACTGAAGCATATATATTTCTCACACAGCAATGCGTTCGTTTTACACTCAATTAGTGAGGTTTAAGTAAGGCATCACTATCGCTCATACTTGCGGTTGGATATGATGTTCACTTGACACTTGATTTGAGCCATTAGGCAGATGCCTTAGCATCAAACTGGCGAGTTTTTCCATAGACAATCACCAATCGCATTGTTTTCAGAAAATATAAAAATCTAGTTTTTCTTCCTCTTTTTGTTCATTGCAAGTGTAGGCTCCGCTGCTTTTGTTGTGATTTTTCCAATACTGATAATGATTTTCTTTTCCTCTCTTCCTCTGGTAGCTGCCAAACATGTTTGGAAGTCTGAGCTCCACTGTTATGTCTCTGATGATCGGCTCCTACGCTTCATCGGCCGTCACCTTCCCTGGAGTCAAGGTATTTTTTATGTGTTTAAATGAAGGTTAAACCTGTTTGACGTGTACAGTGTGCTCGGAATTAAAGCCTGATGAAATGTTGCATCAGATTGAATGAAACTGAATCACCTACGCCAAAAGGTTAGAACTTATTGCCTTTAACTTCATAATATAAAAGCAGTTAGGCTAAAGTATTAATTCATTTATTCATTCAAGGTTTTGAGCTATGATTGTGTACAATCAAATATAAATTCAATGCATTAATACATTGCATTTGATTTAAAACATATCGGCTGTTATAATGTTACTCTAAAGTATAAAACTGGGTGTTTTCATAATCATTTCTTTCATCAAAATTAAGATCATGTAAGTGTTCTATTTTCATAGAAATTAAATTTTTTTATTGAATGTATTAATTCTATTAAGTAATTAAATGGCATTGCCATGGCTGCATTTATTTGATCAAATAGGCTGTAAAAGCGGTACAATTGTGAAATATTATTACAATTTAAAATAACTGTTTTCTATTATAATATATTTTAAAATGTCATGTAAAGCTGAATTTTCAGCATCATTACTCCAGTCTTCAGTGTCACATGATCTTCAGAAATCATTCTAATATGCTGATTTGCTGCTCAAGAAACATTTCTGATTATTATCAGTGTTGTAAACAGTTGTGCTGCTTCATATTTTTGTGGAAACTGTGATACATTTTATTTTTCATGATGCTTGGATGAATAGAAAGTTGAAAAGAACAGCATTTATTTGAAATATAAATCTTTTGTAACATTATAAAAGTCTTTACTATCACTTTTTTTTGGTAACACTTTCTATGAAGCCCGTATTTATAATACATTATAAAGGTATCCTTAAGGCATTATAATGAATGCATAATGCATTATAAAAAAAACTTATAATATGTTGTATCATCTCATGAATATTCATAAGAACAGTTTTAATATATTATAATATTTACTTATTTGTGGTTATAGCTTTTAAGAGTATGATGATTTATAACACAATGAACACGTTGCATCCACTTTTACAATGGATTATATTTCTCATAGTTATAATGTGGGTTGCACCAAAAAGGATTAAGCTTTAATCTAGATTAAATCAAGGGTTATCTAATAGTTCCGTTGCACCAAACTTTAAACCTTGTTTAAAAAGAAGCAGGATTACATTTAAACCATCATCTTGATCCTGGATTTAATTTATATTTAAGATAGATTAACTTTAATCATGTTGCTCCATAACTTTAAACTCAGATTTAAATCTCAATTAGGGATTAATTTTAAATTTACAGGTGAGGAGGTTTAAATGAAATAAAGTGCACCTACAGTTACAATTATGTGGCTGATTAAACAAAGAAAACAA